TTTCCCTTCTCTCTTGCTATCTCTAATTCTCTTACTTTCATTTTTACTTTGTCTCTCTCCACTTCTCTCTCTCACTCTCTTTCTCTCTCTCATACCATCCTTTTCATTCTTTCTAACTTCATCACTGTTGTCTTTTTTTTCCTCCGCTTCCTCGTTCTTCTCTCTTCCAATCCCTCCTACCCTCTCTCTCTCCCTTTGTCCCTCTCCTTCTCTATCTACCCTTCTCTCCCTCCCTCCCTCTCCCTATTTCTCTTTTCTATAATCTCTCTTTTTTTATCTCTTTCTCTCTCTTTCTCTCTCTTTCTCTCACTTTGTCAGTTTTTCTACCTCTTTTCCTGCCTCCCCCTCTCTCTCACTCTCACTCTCTCTCTTTCTCTTACGCTACTCTTTCTCACTGTCTTTCTCACCCTCTTTCTCTCTCTTTCTCTTCTCTATCTCTTTATCTCTCTCATTATTTGAATCTATCCGTTTGTCCCTCTCCATCACTCTCTTTCTCTCTCTCTATCTCACTCTATTTTCTTTCTCTCTCTCACTCTCTCTCCCTTGCTCTCTTTCTCTCTCACTCTCTATCTCTTAATATCTCTCACTTATTCCAACCCTCAAAAACTCCCTCTCCATGTCCCTTTTTGCTCTCCTTCTCTATCTCCCTTCCTCTCTCCAATTCCCTCATTATTCTCCCCTCTACTCTCTCTATCTCTCTCTCACACCATTCACTTTCTCTTCCACCATCACTTTCACTCCACCTCTCCTGCTCTCTCCACTCTCTTCTCTTTCTCTCACTCTAATTCTCTCCCTCTCTTTCTCAATCTGTCACTTTTTCCCCTTATCATTCTCTCGCTCTCCCTCTATCCCTCTCTCTCAGTCCCGTCTCTCTATCTCTCCCTACCACCCTCCCCCACACTCTTTATCCCTCACCCTCACTCTCTTCCTCTCATCCTTTTCCTAGCTCTCTCTCTCTCTCTCTCACCTTATTGTTATATCTCTCCCTCTCTCATATCCTTTCTTTTTTTCAACTTCACTTTTACTTTATTTCTTGCTCTCTCTCTCTCGCTAACTCTCCCTCACTCTTTGCTCTCTCTCATCTCTCCGACCCCTCTCTCGCACTATACCTATCTTTTTCCCTTCCTATCCACTTTGTACCTCTTTCCCCCTCACTCACACACACACACTCTCTCCCTCCTTTTTTTTATTTCTCTCTCTCTTCACCTCTCTCACACACATACTTTATCTCCCTCCCTCCATCTATCTTGCTCACTCTCTCTCTCTCCCCACACTCTCTTTCTCCCTCTTTGATGCTCCCTCACTTGCTCTCAC